AAACATGAATTAATAGCACAGCTTCATTAGTCTGCCTGAGAGTGATTACAGTCAGCCCAAGTCAGACCAAGATTGTTGGGAGGCAGATTCCCCTCCACCACCAGGTGACCTATGCAACTGTCCTCCGGTTGAAAGTGGTCACACGGAAGTTGACGGTACTGCACACACAACACCTGGGCGTCCAGTTTGTACCGCAGATGGCTGTCACTCCACGAGCCTGGTTCTGTCAGAGGCATTATCTGTCTGATAAAACAGAGCTGTTGTTTCTTCCCACTGTCACCAAGTGCTTGCTCATTGGGCTCATCTGATTTCTGGGGTTTTCTCTTTAATATCGTAAGACCTTGCCTCACAGTATGAAGTGCCTTGAGGCTACTGTTGTAAATTCAATTGAATTTCATGCACGTAAAATTGTTACAGCACAAAAAACAGTGACTCAAAAACAGGAACTTAACAGTAATCAGAGGGACTAAAGTCATTTAAAGAAGAGAGCCTAATATGTTTTGTAATATCTTTTACTAAGCATACTGATGGATGTGAAGCCATACGCAAACAGAAGGAGCTCCTCACAATGTAACAGTGTATCCAACCAAGAGTAACACATACTAATTTCTTCCTCTGATTAAAAGCAATCAAAACTATTACAGTGAAAAATATAATCTTAGCAGGCAGTAAACGGCTATGTTTCCACCAAGAACTCAGCAGGGTTTCCGATGTTTCACTGCTCTGCACTCAGGAATAAATGCACTATTTATGGTAGATAAACGATGTGCACTCGCTCCCCATGTGGCTGTGCCGATGGAGCAATGTGATATTTAGGAGGGAGTGTGGGAATGGATGAATAGAAAGGATAGGCAGATAGAGATCAGAGGAGATTTAAACGGCTGCCATGGTATGGATAATCATCATCATTTAAGACACAGATGTTTGATCAATACGTGTGGTTTGAGTGTGGGGCAAAAGACAGCGGTGAGCATCTATACTCGTTTGTAAAACACGGTGGAAAATGCATACAGAGAAATCAGATGTTGATCCACCATGTACAGTAATAACATCTGGAAAGCATCTGATTGGCAACAGCTTTATTTTTTTTGCATGACAATGATGCCAAACACACAGCAGAACGCTATCAGTCCTGGACTGGCCTTCCCTAGAGCCTGGAGCTCAACATTACTGAAGCAGTGTGTGATCACCCAAAGAAGCCTTTTGAAGGCTGGAGAACGATTCCTAAAGACTACTTAAGAGACTAAATAACGCTTGTGTAAGAGAATTCAGGCTGTTTCTGTCT